AAACTGCAGAACGCTCACGATTGGTCATGCTCTCGTTCCGCGTTACGCTATTCCGCTGCATGGGTTCGCGCCCTCAGGGTGCCATTACATGAAGCGCGGAAACGCGGATTAGCGTAACGCGGAACGAGAAGGGAACCAATCGCGAGCGTAACGAAAACTGTAGAATGCTCGCGATTGGTTCTACTCTCGTTTCGCGTTACGCCAATCCGCGTTTCCGCGCTCCATGTAATGGCATCCTCACTCCTCAACATTTGATCTAGATCATAGATATATAGACTGGATTGAGCATTGTGAGATAGACAAACGTGCGCTTGCTGTAGAAAAAGAGGTACTATATGGGAGGCCTACGTTTGTCTCTTTTCCTAGCATCTCATTGGTGATTTTCTATATGGAGGGGGATAAAATTACCAATGAGATGCTAGAAAAAGAGACAAAATAGGCCTTCTATATAGTACCTCTCTCTCTACAGCGAGCACGTGTTTGTCTATCGCAACGCTCAGTCCATTCTATATGTCTATGGTCTAGATATACTATGTCTATGAGCGGAGGTCTTCTTCTTCTTCTCTATTTTGGCTGAGAGACTTCTGGAAGGAATTGTCTATACACCATTAACTAGTCCGTACTGAAATCAGTAGTCTATATAAGTAGGTTGTTTTTTTCACAAAATTGAATAGGAGATGATATATCTTGACATTGTTGGAAAAGGCCAGTGTAGGAATGTCCAGTGCTATGTTGGGTATGATTCTGTTCAGCTCGGTGATGAGCGCGTTCGAATGAGCGAGTGTGTTCGGGCAATTGAAGAAGATGTGACTGAGATCTTGATAAGAGTGTCCGCAGGAGCACTCCGAAGAATCAGTGATGTTTTTTTCCCAAAGGTGTTCCTTTGTAGCTGTATGATAGGTTCTCAGTCTTGAGATTAAAGTAATGATCGGCCTCGTGAGATCCTCCTTGATCCTTTTATCAGAATACCAGGGTGGAGAGAGTGTGTTTCGTACGTGTTTAAAGCACAGTATATACAGTAGCGCAACTCCCTGTCGGCACCTTTCATGTTAGTGTTGGCCAAAACGGAGTGCGCATGCGCGAAATAAGTAAGTTGGTCGGTAACGCCATCTGAACTTCTCTCTCGCTCACTCTCGTTTTTCGTTTTCTTTCTAACTCATTGATACATATGTAGCAATAAATAATAATCTAAATTACTAGCCAACTTACTTATTTCGCGCATGCGCACTCCGTTTTGGCCAACACAAAATCGAGAGAGTTACGCTACTGTATATACTGTGTTTAAAGTATCTTAAGCCTTTTAGGAGGCTTTCCTCCTGGAGAATTCGTGTTGCTTTGTTTTTGGATATGATTTTAAATCTGGAGTATAGGCTAGTGTAATGACACTTACTGAGGAGGAACGGATCAGGGAGATGTAAGGATTCCTTGGCCAAAGCGTCGGCTTTTTCGTTGCCGGATATACCCCTGTGACTGGGTATCCAAAAAATGTATATCTTTAGAGAATGCTTGGTACCCTCGAAAAGTGAGTTCCTGATCTGTGAAATTCCATGATGGGTTATGCCCGATGTGACCAGATTTTGAAGATTAGATATAACGCTCAGTGAGTCTGAGAGAATAGCAGATTTTTTTGTTTTATTGTTAAGGATGGTGTTTATCGCGAATTGAATCGCGTGGGCTTCAGCATCAAAAATTGTGCAGTTATTATTTATTCTTTCTCTATATTCGAGACCGGACTCCGGGGAGTACACAGCATAGCCAGTTCTGTTATCGGACTCTGTTCGAGAACCATCAGTGTAATACAAAGCATCAGATTGTTGCGGGAATATGAGGCGGTTTAAGGTTTCATTAATATTTGTGTCGTTGTTATTTATAAGTTGATAACCCAGATCGGTATTTATTGTAGATATAAAATGTCTGCTCTCATACGATAGATCAAGGTATCCTGGCAAACGGAATTGTTTAATTTGCTAGAAAAGTTCCCTGTGGGTGATATAGATATCTATCAGGTTACATATATTGTTTTTTTCAGTTTCCGGAAGATTTAATATTTCCGTTATTATTGAATTTAATGGGTGTGAGTGTCGCGCAATGACCCTGGACAGAAATCTCAGAGTGAGACCCAACCATCGAGCTTCAAGCGGATATTCGCCGTTAATGTCCAGTAGGACATTCGTAGGGATGTTTATCATCAATCCCGAAATCGTTCTCAGAGCTGCGTATTGTAAACGAGAGACTTTCAGATATAGTTGTTCGCTAAGTGGGCTAAAGGCCTGACAGCCCCAGTCCAACAGCGGCCTTATATATCCTTTATAGATACCCTTCCGAAAATGGTCGATTAAAACGGATTTTAAAAAATGCAATCCGAATCGATCGGGATTTCTGCACCGAAAATGCGGTATTAAAACCGATTGAAAATAGTCAAATCGAATTTAGTACGCTTCAGACGAGATTAATGTTGGATAAGATATCTCCACCTCAATCCGAAATTATACGATTGCATAAAGTTATAATTAAACCTGTTTTAATGCAATTGAATTGGAATTTACCATAGTCAATCCATAGGTAAAAATAATTCCTTTTAATAAAAAATTTTATCATTTCGCAGATGAAAAGTAAATTGATTTTATGTAGTGTGAAGTCGGATTTGCTGTTATCATGAGTCACAATCAATTATTGAATCCGTGTTTCTATAATTGCAACGGACTCACAATCAGTTGTTAAAAACAAATATACGATTTCTCCGCAGAGGGTCCGCCTTATATCCCCGCTTGACCGCTTTCTACTTCCAGGTTGGCTCGCTCGACCTTCGCCGCGTAGCGGCGCCGCCCGGAACTACGCGCGGACGCGCGAGCGCGTGGGCCGCCAAGTTGCGGGTCGCACTATTGTATCGCGGATTGTGCTTAATGTGACGACCTACGGCAGCCACAATATCCATTCGATTATTCGTGTTCATTTGGATTAACAACAATATGGATTAGAAAGTAATGATTTTAGATTGGAAACAATCCGCGAAAGCGATATTAAAACCGATTATATTTCGTTCGGAATTAAAATCGATTACTTTTTAATCCGGGCGCGGATTGAACCGATTAAAACCAATTAAAACAGATTATATTTTAATCGACCATTTTTGGCAGGGTAGTTAATAAGTTCGTGGGGTGAGTACCCCATCGGATACCTGAGATTGCTTTAAATATATTTATTCTAGGCATTATACGATTTTTTAAATAATTGATATGAGCCTTCCAGTTACATTCTGGATCCAATACTACGCCCAGAAAGCGTGAGGCAGTAGAGAATTGAATGTCACCGTTGCCGACTGTCAGAGTGAATTTATATTTGTTTAGCAGTATGCGAAGATTACGCGGTTTTAGTGTAAAAAAGATGGTAAAATTAGATTTTAATGGGGAAATTTCAAGCCCAATTTTTGCAAAGAATTGGTGTAAATTATCAAGTGCAATGTTTAATTGGAGTTTGATCTGTTCAAGATGTTGATCGGAACAGAAGATCGCAATATCATCGGCATAGTAGAGAATTTTGACCGAGCTTGGTAGCACCGTGTGAGAGAGGGCCACGTATAAAGCCCGAATCACACTAGCGGCTCGCGGCTGCGATTGCGATTGCCTCAGCCAATT